AGGCTCCAGGGAGGCCTCTAGATGAAGACGGGGTAAAGGAAAGGGCTGGCCAATGAACGCTACACAGGGCACAGCAGACCACTGTCTGCTAGAAGTCGGAATTGACCCGAGGGCAGGGGTGGCTGGAGGCCTGCCGGACATGCCACTGTACCTGGGGGTCTGGGGACCGATGCCTGAGCATCTTCTTTCGCCGTTTCAATTACCGAGTCAGCTGGGGCTGCACTAACAGTTCTTGAGTTTCACCCTCCTCGTGCCAATGGACAAGGTCTGATGGCACGGATGGTTAAGCACTCAGCTGTTAGGCGAGGAGTCAGAGATTCAGGCGCCAGTGATTGTGCCGCAGAAAGATGGGGCCATCAGCCTCCGTAAAGATTACAGCCCTGGAAACCAAGGAAGCACCTCTTCCCGCCCTGTGGGGTCCCCATGGGTCAGAAACCACTCGATGGCAATACGTTTGCGGCGGGTGGGTGTACCCATGCCTGGTGAGGTTGGCTTCATGTGCCCTGGCTAGAGACAGACTCCGGAAACAGGAATTACACTACCTATCGCATAATCACAATGCTATTCTTATCATTAGTAAGTCACAGAACACAAGTGCAGAATGTAAGGGATGTTATGGTGGGGAAAAAACCAAACAAAGTTACACTCGATTAGATTAGGTATCGCTTTTCCCTTTCCGAGCAAAGTTTTACAATTTGATTGAGGAAAAAAACAAAACCAAACCTCTAGTATCCACATCTAACTTAGACTCTCTTAGAAAACACTTCCCTTTCTAGCCAATTCCTACGTGGATGCCATACACAACCACTTCCTCTATCAAGCTGTCAGGATGAACTGCTAAATTCTTCACAGTCGCTCACACAACTGTCCACCTAGTCCGATGCTCTGGGGAGGGGGAGGGGTGGTGGTGGGCGTCCGGCCCTACGTTCCAAATGCAGGCACATCCAATTGGCCTCCAGAGGCACACTTGTCACAGCACTGCTGTCTGAAAAAAGCAGTCAGTACGCGTTACAGACACAGGGCCTTGGGGCGTTGGAAGCGACAGCCGAACTCAAGCCAAGTCCACTGCTGCAGGGCCGGCACTGACGCACCCCTCACCTCCCTGCCACCGGGGTTCTGGACAAGAGCAGAGAGCCTCATCATTCTCCCAGGGAGCCCCTGGTGGTTTCTAACTGCCCACCTTGCCCACCAAGTAACCCATGACGCCACCAGGCTCGTTGTGACTTAGATCCTGAAGGTCAGAGTGGTCAGAGGTCCCCATCAAATTTTTATGGAAGCCAGCTGCCGCCTCTCCTTTGGGTGGCTGCCGGTTCCACCAGCCCTCATGGTCGGCAGCCAAACACCTTAACCATCACACCACCAGCCCTCCAGAGAGAAGATGGGGTCATCCAAACCATTCAGACCAGACCTTCATGCTCCGGATTCCATACCAGGAGGGGGAGGG